AACCTCTTAAACTTTGCATGGGGAGTTCTAATGGCATAAAGTTTCCACCTTTATGCCTTAACTACCCTAAACACTCTAAGATCTGAAAGGATCTTGCTTGGGGACGTCCAAATCCCACAAGTAATCATTCTTGGACCAAAAACTTCATAAAAGGGACTATAAGGAGATCAAATAAACCAAAAGCCAAGATGAAAACTTGATTACCAAGAATTGCAGCCAATGGAGTGTATCTTCTGGATCTACTTCCTCCTCCTTGAGCCTCCAACTTCCTTCCTCTCCTTCTTCCTCTTCAAGAGCACACAAATCACACAAAGGTGGCTCAAACACTCACAAAATGCACTAGGGTTTCATGGGTGAGGGTTTAGGGTATGGTGGCTAGGATGAGGTTGTGGAAATGAGAATAAGATGCTTAAATAGGGCACCAACTCCCGAAATTAGGGTTTCCCAACCCATATCAGACTCGCCGAGTCGGCCACTTAATCTGCGACACGAAACTCGCTTCTACTCGTCGATTTCTTCCCTGGACTCGACGAGTTGACTCTTTGACTTAGGGTTTTCCTTTACTTTCTTGGTCTTCTGAATTCGGGGTGTTACGTTGTGTGATTTGGGATGGGTTAAGGCGGTCTCTGATTTGTGCTCTAGGCCAACATACCCAAGGCGGCCCGGATAGACTGCAGACCCGGTAAGGGCGTACTAGTACGGTCGGAGGCCCAACGAGCGGTCCGAATAGGTTGAAGGCTCGTGAGGCGATCCAGACATGCCGATGGCTCGAAGAACGGTCCAGATAGGCTGATGGCCCTGCGAGGCGGTCCAGTCAGGCTGATGGCTCAGTATGCATGATGTTTATTTGTGATGATATGGTTATGTTTGTATGGCGTTGGTATTTTGGGGGAAGTCACTGAGCTTTGGGCTTAAAGTTTTGGATTTTGTTTCAGGTAATTCAAATGATCGCGGGAAGGCGAAGACGTGATCGTGCACCTCCTCACATTTTATGATTTTGATTTATGGGATACTCTGATATGAAACTATTTTGAAAACATTTTGTAATAATTAATGGTTTTTGAATTCTTGAAAAAAGTTTTAAATTTTCATGAATTTTATGGATGTTACAATATTGGAAGGTGTCTAATCTCCGATTTTGAATTTTTTCATGTATATTATTGTATTAAGTTATTTTCTATATTATTGTCATTCGAACGGTTGTTGGGGTTATTGAAGGCCATTTTCCCCAAAACTTGTTGATGAACTTCCTAAAACCCTTACCTTTATTATATTTTCTTTGATCTTCATCACATGCATGTGCCAAAACGTACGTTTAGTCATTATTTTCAAAAATTAACTCGGACCGCCGATAAGTTTGTTTTTTTTTTTGCATGTTTGGTCCCTTTAGACATAAAAAAGACCAATTTGCCCTTAATAATTTATTTTTTAATTTTCTTTTAAACTTTTATCATTTTTTTATTTAAAAAAAAATTATCCACATGCCCACCCTTCCCCTTCCTTTTCCCCAGTGTTCTCTCCTCTTAATAATCAATAGAAAGCTCCCCCATCCAATAAATATCCATAGGTGAATCACCGACGACTTTTCCACCTCCACCTCATTCTGGTTCCAAACTCGTCTCATCACCTCCAATTTACCATCAATTATCATCCTCCTTAGTCGACTTAAAATGGGTCACACACACCATGTACAACCTCTTTCCCACCATGTACAACCTTTACCACCGATCGAACTCCAATTGCAATGGAGACACATGATGAAGTAGAGATTATCAGTGGTGGTGGTGCTCGATCTGAAATCCCCAAAGTGAAATCTAATAAAAAAAAGGCACTGGTTCAAGACCCTAGGCGGTGCCCATCTTAGATTTGAGGTACGAACAAGTGTGACCGACAATGATTCAGGTGATGGTAAACCCTAAATGATATGAGGATGGCAGTCTTGATTGCTCTACATTTTGAAGCAAACGGACTGAAGTTAACCCTATCTTTCCTATTTCTATTCACCACAGATCAAGAATACCCTTAGTGGATATAAGGGTGGTTGTGATGGTAATGAATTCTCGGTGAGATGGTTTTAGTGTAACGTCCCAAAAATAAGACCCAAAAATTTCATTTTTAATTTAGGCCCCGTTTGATAGTTGCTGACTGAGAAAGTGCTTACTGGGAAAGGTCTGTTTGAGTAATAAATTATGACTGAGTAAGAAACCATGCTGTTTGATTGTATATCTGACTGTATGTGCTGGCTGATGCAAAATGACCATTTTACTCCGATGCTCTAATAATAATAATAATAATAATAATAATAATAATAATAATAATTGATTATAAAAGTTCAGGGTCCAACTAGTAATTTACAGAAATTAGTTATACAAAACAATTTAAAGTTGTGGTAGATTAGGGCAAGATGGGTATCTTCAAGGACCAAAGTTGCATAATTCTGATTTTGAGTTGTCTTCTTCCCCTGGTCTCCTTAAGCTGCAATACATCTCTGTTTGTGTTTCTTTTTTATTTTGTGCCTCTTTTCGTGTTTTTTTTCCTTTCCATGGATTAAATTGATGTGTGGGGAAGGAGGATGATGGTGGTGCTGGTTGAGGGGAAATGGTGGAATGGATTTCAATCAGATTCAGTCAGCAAGGTTTTTTGGTATGAGCGAGTCAGACATTGTTGACCCGGTCAGATGCAAATCTGAGTCATATCAAACACATGGAGCTGACCGAGTCAGACATTTTTGTCTGACCTGACCCAGTCAGATCCAAATCAAACAGGGCCTTAATAAAACGGTAATCCAAAACATTTTCATACAACCAAGATATACCAAGGTATATTACTACATCACAAAATATCAGAGTAAGTCACAAAATGCGGAATAAAGTGGTGTGTGCTCTGCAATCATCCCAGGCTCTTCCCTTCCGAATCAGAAGTACTTGAAACATAAACTGAAAATCGTAAGCACAAATTTAGTGAGTTCCCCAAAATGCCACGTACCATACATATCAAACACATAATGGGCCCCGCCCGGTATACAAATCTATCAATCAACGGGCCCCGCCCATTAAGTGTAACGGGCCTCGCCCTAACTTGCATAGCAAGCCCCACCCACTGAGTATAACGGGCCTCGCCCTAACTCGCACAACGGGCCCCGCCCAACATACAAACATGCAAGTATAACAAGTAATAACATACAAAATAACATTTGGGCCCCGCCCACTAAGCATACGAACACATTCACATACAAGAGTTACGCATACATCTAGCACGCTAACATAATAAACATTGGGTCAGCATTGGTGCCTTCGACCCGCTAAACATGGTGGGGAAGACTCACCTCAGACTGTTGAATCTCACAGATAAATCTATGGCTGTTGGTCCGAAAATCCCTGCGCTATCATCATAAAATAACATCCAATTAATAATTGGTTCCCAACTCATACTAAGAGTCTAAACTAGGGTAAAAGACCATTTTACCCTTTACCTAACTTGGCCCAAGGCTAAAGCCCAAACCAACTACTAAAAAACGCCCAATTCCAAAAATGGTCACCCAAAGCCCAAATATGGCCCAATCTTCCAAATTAGGCCCAAACCCCTTTGTGGGCCTTCAACCAAAATAATCCAACATAAAGACACCAGCTCAAAATAGAAATCTGATGGCCCAACAAGGCCCTAATATCCTAATGTCCAAATATGGGCCCAAAACCGAGAAGACCAAAATCCGAAGCCCACTTGCTGAGTACGTGGGGCGTACTCAGCTTGTACGCTTAGCGTACTCCCTATGGGGCTAGTACGCGCAACGTACCAGCTTGGTACGCCCAACGTACTCCCCAGTTGACCACCCCACTTCATTAAGCACTTAATCCATTGACACTTCAAGCCAAACTCTTAAATCTGATTCCTCAGGGTGACTTTTCACGTAAAGTTGGAAACCTACATACATGCATGCCTTAATGGGGTTCAAGAGCTCAAAAAGGACTTAACCAAGGTCTTAACACAGTTCATGGTCCAAGATATATCATAAAGCTTGCATTTTAATGAATAAGGGGACCAAAAGAAGCCTAAATGTAACACCATAATTTTTGGAGTGATTCAAGAAGCTCATCAACCACTTCATGGACTCAAAAAACATAAAATAACAACATAACTAGATCTAGCATCATGGATCATCAATATGTGATCTTTTTACCTCAAATTGCTTGCAAATGAAGCTAACCTCGAATCTTCAAGCTCAAGACACTTCTCCAATTGGTCACCTTCTTCATCTCCTTCACAAATCACCAACAAACACTCTTTAAGGCTCAAAACTCACAAACACACACTAGGGTTTCGATTTCTGGACAAAGGATGGTGGAGGCTGGCTAAACATGACCAAATGAGGTTATAACAAGGTTTAAATAGGGTGCAAACCCTAAAAGTTAGGGTTTCACTCATGCTCACGTACGCCATGCATACTCCACGTACACCCCACGTACGTGGTTAAGACACGCGATCCTGAATTGCACTAGTACGCCCAACGTACTCCAACTTTCCTGAAGTTGGCAATTCTGCCCCCCAGGGATCAATTATGCAAAACATTAACACACCAAGAGTCTAAAATGAAAAGTACTTTGAATCAGGTGTTACATTTAGTGATGTTGGTAGTTGTGTGTTTGATTGATGAATGTTGATTTGGGGAAAAATAGGTGGTAATCGATGGTTGTGGGGGGTGGTACGACGGTGGTGATGATTTGTAGTCAAAGAATTTATAAGGAAAGTGGGTTTAAAGGGAAGATGTTAGGATAAGATGAGTGGGATGAGTTTTTTATTTTATTTCTGTACTTTATAAATAATTATAAGAAAAATAAGTAAATAAATAATAATAAAAAAGACAGAATATTCTTTTCATGTTTCATAAAAAATGAAACGTACAAATTTAAATTAGTGAGAGATGACATGTGCAACTTTTAATTAACTGATGGAAAAATCTAAGTTAATTTTTAGAAATATAAAATAAACATATTTTTTAAGAGATGCACCAAGAAGAAATATGGACGAATTATGTAATTTACCAAACTATATGGAGACAATTTGTATCGAAAATAAGGGCCAAATTCCTAACCTCTAACCTGAAATGGGCTTCAAAAGCCCAAGCTCAGAATCAACGAACTTGGATTTGGCGGGAATGCAATCTTGCCCTACAAGCTCCTTACGACTCATCTCCCTCGATTTAAACACCTAAAACCCTCACTGTCTTCCTTTCACCTTCATCTCAACATCACCAGACGCTTTTCTCCAATCAAGTAAGTCTAGGATCTCTCTATCTTTAGTTCCACACCCTAATTTTTATCATCCATACATTGTAGCACATTATCAACCAATCGATTTTGATTTTACTAGGAAAAAATTCATAGAAATGACGGTTTTAAGGTCAAGGAAAGTTGTTTCTGTAGCTCAGAACGAACATTCGCATAAACCCGTTAAAAATGAGGCTCAAATCGAACCATCAACACCTGCAAAAGAAGTTGAGTCGACGAATAAGTCGTCATATGAAGCAACCCCGAGTCCGCGTATGTTGGGTCAAAGTTCCGACAAGCTAGGGTCAGGGTCTGTTTCGAGCCAAGAGTTGAGAAGGAGTGCACGACTTTCCTCGAAGTCAAGTTCGTGTAACTTTGTCGAGATTGTCGTTTCTAGAAGGAAGAGAAAGACTTTAAATCATGGAAATGGTGAATCTGGTGGCTATGAGAGTGATGTAAGTAATGTTAGGGTTCCAAGTGAATTGGATACTTCCACTGGATGTGAAGCAAATGGTATGTTGGTGTCTGATTTGGGTACCGAAGAATATGATAAAGATAAAGAAGAGATGCCGAGTGTAAAGAAGTTGAAGAATGGAAAGCTTCCGAGTCAAGATTTTAATTTCTTGGGTTCTGAATCAGTTCAAGAAAGTGATGTAGGAAATAAAAGCTTAAACTTCAGATCAAGTAAGAAGCTTTTAAAACCAGGGAAAGAACTGTCTTCTTGCAAGGATGAAAAGGGAACAGAAGAGGTAAAAAGTGAGACAGTCGTTAATGGAGTCAGTCAAGTGAGTCTTACTATTGAAGATAAACAGAAAGGGGTGTTAGTGGATTGTGGTGAGTTGGGTTTAGAGAAAAAGATAAAGACAAATGAAGCTGAAGAAATGGAGAATGATGATGTAAGTGATACCATGAAAATGAGTAGTAACATACACGAGATTGAAGAAAAAGGGAAGGGGAAAGTAGGTGAAGCTGATTCATCATCAAATCTCAGTAATAGTAAGGATGATTCACATGTAAGCCCCCAACAAGAAACTACTGAAAGAGCTGAAACTAGCACTAGAAATAAGGAAAGGTTTAAAAATATAGCAAGAGAGAATGCATCAAGATTTGCATATTTCTCAATTCAAGAAGAAAAACAAGAAGATGAAGATGAAGATGAACAACTTGAACTACAAACAGAAGAAAATGGGGTGGTGGAAGATTGGCCTGGTCCTTTCTCAACTGCCATGAAAATAATCAAAGATCGAGCAGAAAACACAGGTCAACAAAACAGTTTGACTTCAGAGATCCTTCCTTCTGTTCCATTGACATGGGTTCCAAAAACAAAACCACAACATGAACATGTGAAGAAGAGAGTAGCCCCATCACTTCAAGAATTATGCATGCCAATCATTGCTGAAAATGTAGATGCAATAACTTCCCTTGAAAGTGTCCCTGATGTAATTAGACACAAACTTACACAAAAACTTTGTGACACTCGCAAAATGAACCCTCATTTTCTTGACCTATTAGCAAGTGGGTCCCCTTCAGAGATACGTGTACATGAATGTTCATGGTTAAGCGAAGAACAGTTGACTAAAACCATTAACAAGACTGATATTAGTAAACTCAATGTAAGATTCTTTCATTCTTTTTTAAAACCATATTTCCATCATTCATTCTTACTAAAAGTTATGAATTGTTTAAATTTAGGTACTACAACTGGATCAATGTGGGAGATGTTTACCAGACTATGTTATATTTACAACCTTGGCTCACTTGAAGATGTCTGAATTGACTAATATATCCTTGAGAGGTGCATGTAGGCTTTCAGATGCTGGACTTAATGTTCTTCTTACTTCAGCACCTTCTTTGAGATCTATAAATCTTGGATGCTGTTCTTTGCTCACTTCTGAAGGAATCATAAACTTAGCTGATAAATTAGGATCAATTCTTAAAGAGTTGTACATTGATGACTGTTTTGGTCTTGATCCTATTGAAATACTCCCTGCTTTATTAAAGTTAGAAAATCTGGAAGTTTTGTCAATTTCCCGCTTTGAAACTGTTAATGATTCTTTCATCAAACAGTTGGTGGGCGTTCGTGGCCACAACATAAAAGAGCTTATTTTGGCAGATTGCACGTGAGTTTTTTTCTTCTTCTTCTTTTTTTTTTTTTTTTTACCAATTGTTTATGTTTTAACTCATATTGATTTTTCAATTTCTATTTTTGAATTTGGTCAGGAAATTGACAGATAAGTCGTTGAAAGCAATTGCAGAAAGTTGTCCAGGGCTATGTTCAATTGATTTGACAAATCTGTGTAGATTGACTGATACTGCAATTGGACATCTTGCAAATGGTTGTAGAGGAATTCAAACAATGAAATTTGGTCGCAATGTTTTCAGGTTTTTAATTTTTTATCCATGTTTCTTATATTTTATGTTCATAAATCATAAATGAATTTTGTATAAGTTTTTGACATTTTGTAAGCAGTGACGAGGCTGTAGCTGCATATATTGAAGCATGTGGACAATCTTTGAAGGAACTATCACTCAATCATGTTGATAAGGTATCATTTTGGTCTCAATGAAATAAAAAAAATGGTGTTTTTTTAATTTTTTTAATGCTTATTGTGACTAATGTTATAAAAATTTTCAGGTTGCTAATCACACTGCTTTATCACTTGCAAAACATGCAAGAAATCTACAAAGTTTGGATTTATCTTGGTGTAGGAATATGACAAATGAAGCTGTTGGATTGATTGTAGATAGTTGTTTATCATTACGAACAATCAAATTATTTGGGTGCACTCAAGTATGTAACTTTTTTTATATTTTTTATTTTGTAAATATATGAAATAAAGCTAATGTGAGGTTCTTTTTGCAGATTACGAATGTGTTTTTGGATGGACACTCGAATGAGGAGGTGAAAGTGATTGGTTTAAAAGAGAGTGAAATAATAAAAAACGTTGAGATGACTGATCTTCTACCATTGAGATATTCATCAGCAACTTAAAACATTTGATGCAACAAAGTTGTCGCCCAACATGGTTTTTGTTATACATTTGTGAAAGTGATATGTTGTTGTCTTTTGGTATGAATGACTTCTTGTTGTTTCATTTGTAACTTGAAAAGGTGATCATATTTTGTGATAATATATTGGTTGATGTTTTGGTTTATGTATTTGATGTGAATGTGGTTATATCAAGGCTTAGTATTTGACTAGTAAGTATCGTAAGTATGTCAAAGTGTTGAATTGATAAATGATTTTCGTAGATGTTTCAATCCGATTGAATAATAAAAGTAAATGATCATTTTGGTCAAAGTTAATGATTGTATAAAGAAAAAAGAAAGATTTAACTAATTTACTTGCATTTTTAAAAAGAAAATAAACAAAAATTAGAAAATTCCAAAACTAAACGTTAATTTCTTATGGCAAAGCAATCCAACATCTTACGGGTCTTAGACACGTCAATGCAATGTCAATAGTATCTCAAATTGCTGATATCAGCTTTTGCAATTATCTCTATATCAATGTAATATCAACGATGTTTCAAAAATTAGTAATTATCTCCACTGATACATCAATAAATATTTTGTATTTTTAACAGTAACTATTAAAAATTAGTAATTATCCAATAATAAATTAACATAAACATATATTTATAAAACTAATGATCACTATCTTGTATACTGATTTGTAGAAACGCAGTTGCTTTCTTTCTATTAATTTACCATCAAATAACTATTATAATACATAAAAAAAAACCCTACACATGTTAATATAAATTTATTCTTTGTCAGTAACAAATATCAATACTTTCAAGTTTATAATAGTTACGTATTAATAGGCTGCAAGTAGTCCAATTGTTTAAGACATTTTTTTTTCAAGTTTACAATATGAATGATGCTGAAAAAGACAATGAGTGAAATCAAATAAGGTTTTCTAATGTTATCAGTTTATACTTGTAGATTGTTTGTTTTTGGCATTCAGACACTTATTTATTAATGGTTAAAAACGTATTTCGTAAGTACACGTTGAAAATGGGGTTTTACCCATTTTGTTCTTATTTTTTGTTTAAAAATGAGTTTTTGGCTATTTTCACATACGATGGTGTTACAATTTTACAAAGATGTAATTTTTCTCTGGATTGGAACAAAAATCCTACAACTTTGAATGCAATGTCACCTTACTGTTAAATAACATTCATTATTGGATGAATGTCGTTTGTATGCAATTTTTTTTTTCATAACATAGTTTTGTGGCCTTTCTACGGTAATAGAGGGCACATCAAAAGGAAGTTGGTATGGCCTTTCATCATAAGATGAGTTATATTTTCTTAGGGATCATGTATGACTCGGCTTACATAGTTTGTTTTCAAACTAAATACTGTTGGTGATTTGTTATCATAAATATTATTTAAGTGTAATAGGATTACTTTGTTCACCAAAAAAGATATTGATAAATATTAAACAAGTAAGGAAGGTGTGGAGTACACACTTGTTTAAGTTTGATCAAATTTCAAAGTACACTGTCATTTAGGGGCAGAAAACTTTTGAGAGATAATGCATATTAATGTTTTTTTATCAGGTGAAACGTTTTGAACCTATTTGAAAAAATAAATTACAAAATTAATAAATAACTATAGATATATATTATAAATAGATAAATTATAAATGTTTATTCATTTGTTTTTTGGATTATTCGGTTCTGATTTTATAAACCAAAACCAATCCGAAATCCAAAATAATAATTCGGTTTTGTTGAAAACCCATCCAAAAATCCAAATATCCGAACCAAATAGTTCAATCCAAATTATCCAATTGGATAATTCGGTTTTATCCGAATAGTGAACAACCCTACTGATTTGGATATACTAAATGTCTTTTAGCTCAACGATATCTGGTGTTGTCCTCCCTTTTTGAGATCGAGAGTTCAAGTTCCGCAATGGAGTGTAGGTGGATTAATTTAAGAGTAGTTTAGTATATTTGTTGTTTCAAAAAAATAATGTTGTGCTTTTATTGATTTTGCTATTTTATATGCTTGATTTATAAAATCAAAAAGCATACTTATAAATAAAAATGCATTTTCTTTATAAATAAAAAAACATACTTAGATATACTAAATAATAATTCATTACATAATCAAATGAGTTATTGGAGTCGTCATAAAAAATTATTAGAATTCCGGAAGCTGTGATGGATATTCTGACTTTTCGTCATTAATAAGATCTTGCTAATTTTAATGTTATCTTCAAAACAACTTAAACACTTTTTATCGGTATTACAAAACCACTTTTCCGCAACTTATAATTCATTTTTCATATCTTTGACTCACTTCAACTTTACTTTGACGTTTTCACAAAGAACCTTTTGTCAAGTCAAGGTCAATGTACGGACTGTTTCAAAATTTTATTTTGTTCTTCTCCGGAGCTATTTATTTATAACTTTGAACATATAATCAAACATCTTAAGTGATTTTTTTCATAGAATGGGTTTAGTTGAGAATTTTCTTTTTCAGAAAGATAATCACAACCTTCGTACACGTAAAACTTGTTGGGTTAACTTATAAGAATATTTTTAATAAGGGAAAATGACTTATCAAAGTAATTAACTTTTCGGTATGTTCACATCTGAGTAACTATCTTTTTTTTGTATACATCTAGATAACAATCTTGTTGGAAGTGTTCACATATGACCATTATGACCTGCTGTAGCAGGTTACATCCTAGATATGAACACTTTCAACAAGTTCATTACCTAGATGTGTACAAAAAAAGTAGTTACCCAAATATGAACAAAACGAAAAATAAGAGTAAATTACACGAATGGTCCCTGTGGTTTGGGGGAATTTGTGTTTTTGGTCCCTAACTTATTTTTTTTAACTCGAATGGTCACTACTGTTTATTTTTGTTGTGCGTTTGGTCTCTGTCTTACCTAAAAAGACTATTGTGCCCTTATTAATTTATTTTTTAATTATTTTTTTTATTTATGTGGAGTCTATTAATTTTTTTAAATATATAAAAAATAAATACATAAATAAGAAAATTAATTAAAAAATAAA